TATTCTCTCAGAAGTCTGCTGCCTGGAGACTTCACCTGCATGATGAAACCTTGGTCTCCACAACCCCGTGTCTTAACCCAGACACTCCTAAGTCCTTAGACAATAACTGTACTCTTTCAAAAAATTGCCAATCAGAAAATTCTTGAATCTACCTTTGACCTGGAAGCCCCCTCCTCCGGATGTCCTGCCTTTCTGCACTGAACCAATGTACATCTTACATGTATTCGACTGATGTCTCATGTCTCCCTAAAATGTATGAAACTAAGCTGTGCCTCAACCACCTTGGACACGTTTCTCAGGATCTCCTGAGGGCTGAGTCATTGGCCATTGGTCACTCATATTTGGCTCAGAATAAATCTCTTCAACTATTTTACAGAGCTTGACTCTTTACTGACAATATCTGTAGGTGTGTATGTATATATAGAGGCATGTATATGTAGGTAGATTTGTATGTGTGTGTGTATATATATAATAGAGAGGTCTGTATTTATAGAGGCGTGGGTGTGTGTATGTATAGATGTGTGTGTGTGAAAGCATATGTATATGACATTTAATGTATTCTGAACCATCCTTTACGCAGTGAACTGCACCAGTGCCTGTATCATGAATTGAGTAGCCATATGTGTGTGGGTGAGGACTGCTAGACTCTTACCATCATGTATATAATTATGAGAGAGAGGGAGAGAATGTGAGTTAGGCAATTGGCCACACTCCTCTCTACACCTGCTGAGAAAAAGACACAGGGACCCAGCGGCATCAGAACACCTTGTTGGGGCAGCTCTGCACTGGGGCGCAGGTGACAGAAGCCTCACGGGATTCTGTCCAGCAGGAAGAGAGGCCGGCTTCAGCCCCTCCCGCCTGACAGCGCATGGCTCCTGCCTCGCCTGGGAGGAGGAGCCCAGGATTGGAGGCAGGGGCTGCTCCCGCCTCCAGAGGTTTCCAGGAGGCCACATGTTGTGCCCTGCCGGCATCCACGCATTTGGGTTATACCCACTCCCAGACGAGGACACTCATGGACTTGAAGACACTTGGTGTCTTAGGAAATCGCAGAACATACAATGGGTATAAACGACGCCAGAATAAACAAGATTTTCAAAGTTTTTGGAAAAAGCTGAGCTCATGCCGATTATAGAAAGCATTTGCATCTTTTGAAGGGCTTTCCTCTGAGGGTTCAGATATCCCTCAGAGATCGTGCTGGTGACAATCCCAGCTTTTTGCAAACTATCTGGTCTTAATTGCCTTCAATCAAGTCACTCCAACCGAGATGGGAAAAATCACAGCTGAGTTTCCTCATACTTCCGGCCACCTGACAGGGCGTCAGGCATCTTTGGTGACAAGCTGGATCCTTGGGCACCTGGCCCAGCAGGACTGCAGGGTGTCGGCTGCTCCTGGGTGAGCACCTCCCATACAGAGAAGCAAACCCCCTCATCCCATGTCCCGCCGCCGCCCAGCTGAGAAAGAGGTGTGGTTGCAGAGGAGTGGAAAGCTGACTTCCTCCACTGTTTCTCTCCCAGCGCGTCACACTGCATTGCTGTGTGCTTCTTTTCACAGGCGGCACATACCTCCGGCACTGAGCGTGTCCATGTGCCGTTACTGGACGGCCACACGTGGCAAACATATTGACCCGTGTCTCTCAGCCTCAGGCCACAGCTTCATGCTCTAGCTCTCTTCAAGATGGAAGTTTAGAATTTCTTTTCTCTTTGGAATTCAGAAATCACAAAGTCTCCATTGCCAGGTGCCTGGGAGAGGGGAGCTAGTGTCCCAGGGAAATCCGAGTGACTCGGAGCCTCGGTGGGAGCACAGACCTCGGTCTCCCTCCTGAAACTCTCCTCCAGAAATGTTTCTCTTTGCTCATTTTGTCAGCTTTATGATCCTTTTTCCCATGCTGCCGTTAATCCAGATCTAATGAAGGAACAGTGTGGTGCAATAGGTGTCCACTGGGAAAGGGTCTTTCTAACAGGAGCTGAGCAAAGTCTCGAGGGACCCTCTCAGTCCTGCTGACCTGCTGACCGTGAAGGTGACACATTTGCGAAACGTCCACAACAAACATCTGTGAGTGCTCTTGGGCTGTTGTGATGTCCTAGTGAACTGCTGAAATAGAAAAGTCAATCAGCAAAAAAAATCACCGCTTAAGCAGTTAAATTAGCATTTCATTATTTTTAATTGAGTGATCTAGCACCTCCCTATGAGCCACACTTTATGGAATTTCAATAAAGACCAACCAACCATAACAAATCTGAACACTTTATGAAAGCAGTCTTTCCAGTCTTCAGATGCTGATGTATTGCGGCAAATTATATGCATTACTCTCCCACACATTTTTGCTAATTGAGCCACTTTGGTGTGCTGGAGATTAACGAAGTATTAATAATAGAATTATTCTCCCCTTACGATCCTTGCAGACATAGAGAAGTAACCATGTCCCCAAGCCTCCTGCCGCTGCTGACCGCTCATCCTCGAAAGTGTCCTAGATGAGGTAGCAGCAGGTGCACGACAGTAGGAGTAAAACCTTCTCTCCTCTAATGTCCGGAGCTGCATGGTGGCCTTAGAGGCTTTTAAACCGGAAGTCCCAGCTCTTCAGTCTACCTCAAGGACAAAACGAATCTTTCCTTCACACATGTTGCCCAGGTTACAAACAGTTCTGAGCAGAACCTTGGTCCCTTCATTCCTGTGCAGAACATCTAAATCAGTCACATTTAATACGAATGACTAATGTATGTTATAACCATAAAGGCAATGGTAACTTAGTGACAAAACCACAACTAATTTTTAAATAGTTATATTCCCAAACACTCCAAATGTTTTAAAAAGTTTATCTTGTCATGATTCTTGTAGACTTCACTCCTTGTATTTTCTAAGTGCGTACACATCAGATACATGGAAGGATTTTCAAAGCCTGCATCCTGGTCATGCCTGACTCTTTCGTCGTGTGCCTTGCAAAGCCTTCCAGTACCAGTCGTCCACGATGCAGCTTCAGACTCTGCAGACTCAGCCCTGGTTGTGTTGCATGACTCTGCAGCTGCCACACACAGAACCCCAGTGCCAGTTATTCCCACAGGGCTTGACTGACAGACACCAATGGAACCCAGCTATCATGACAATGTTAGACCCAAAACAATCTGTATTTATTTTTAACAAAAGGAACCTACTTTTTTCCAACAAAAAGTTTCTGTGTTTTTCTCTTTGAATTGACTTTTATATTCTAATTCCTCCATATTTCCTTCCAAATCCAGAATAATTTATGCCTTGTAAATTGAGCCATTTTATTCCAAATGTAGAATATTTTATATTTGAAAGTCCTTTATTTTTAATATGTTTTACATAGTTCTTTATTTTACCTATCCTCTACAGATATTTATGCTCATGTCATATATTTGGTACATTCATTTATATATTCTTCACATTCCTATAGTCTTACCATACATTTACATATTTGAATATGTATTTTATTTTGTATGTTACATTTTTATATATGTTATAAATTTAAATTTCATATTTAGAAAATGTTCAGTGAGTACAAGGGTCTCAGTGTTCATGGTTTTCTTCAAGATTGAGTTATTTTGTACACATTATTAGAACATAATCGATTTAATCAGCACGGATCTATGACAGATGTTGGTAATTATTATGCATAGAGATAAATATTTGATGGAATTAGTTTATTGATGAGATGGGTGGAGTTTCCGTTAGTTCCTTCAGCAGTTGACTGAACATCAGCTGTTGGCCAAGGGGCCATGCATGCTGGTTACCCGAGATCCTTCCTATTTATGCCTTCTATCCCAGGAAATTATTAATAATTAACAGTGCTCCTGTCTCCTCAAAAGTATTCCACTGTGGTTAGGAATTATATGATCGTCCTGCGTACTATAGATCAGACAGTTCAGCCGCAACCCTGTGATTATTTTTACCTTCGCAGATGGACATGCCTAGAAACCGACCGCGTGACTATGTCACTGGGAAAAGCTCTGCCATCTGGCCCTCAAAACCCCTTCTGAGATGTAGAAGAAAATGAACATATGATGAGCTATCATTAAAATGATTTTTATTCATGTATCAGCAAACAATTCAAAAACATTGTCCTCCAAATTTCTAAACAAAATATTGGAAAATACCTGATTCACACAAGGACTAGTTACGAATCTTTAGTCTTTTATTTCCTCAATTTCTAGAAAATGTTCCAAGACACATCAAGTGATTGTTAATTGTGCCTACATCCCTTCAACTTAGGGGCACCTTGCTTAACACAGTACACTCAGAACTAGGTGTGAAATCAAAGTGTTCAACACACCTTTGCCTTATCATGCACTTCAAATACATTTTTGTCAGAATATATTTTGACCAGTAGAAGGAAACTGCAAACCAGCCTACTTATGGGAAACTTCACCATCTAGCTTACTGGCTGAATCCATTCTCATCGCCAAATCAAACAGCCAAATACAACCGACTCTCTGTCTCAGGAGAGACTTAACTTTATTTTTAACTTATTTTATTTTTAATTCATTCCCGCAAGCTTGCCTGGACAATCACACGGGGCAGGAACAGGCACCACACCCTGGTGGCTTTGTGGTGCTTTGATTAAAGGATGTTTTATGCCACAGGATTTAAATGATCTCTTTGTTTGGAGTACCAGAAGTTTCTGTCCTCCCGAGAACTGCCCCTGGTACATTCTAGAAGGGTGGGAGACCCTCCTTCAGAAAACAGTAGGAGAAACTTTCCTGAAGGGGAGTGGGAAGGAATCCTGCAGGCAGCCGCCTCCAGACAGCACGTGCCGCGCTTGGGAGAGGGCGCCTGTGGGAGCCGAGCCTCTGCGATGAGCTCCCTGGAATCCAGCCATGACCTGGGCCTCCAGGAGGCATTTCGGGTCTTCTGGGGAGCTGTGCCCCTTGGGCCTCTGGAGAGACCCCACTTATTCCCCTGGGAATGGTTCCTTATATCTGGGACTCTCTGCTTCTGCGTTCTTCTCCGCCATCTCAAACACATCCTTGCGTTTGGCTCCGCAGAGACCACCCCAGATGGGGCGCCTCCAACACAGCCCTGGCACGATGGCTCCCTCCAGTCTACGAGGACGGCTTCAGTCAGCCCCGAGGCTGGAACCCTGGCTTCTTGCACAACGGGTTCCCACTGCCCCCGGTGGGTACTCGGGACGCTGCTACCCTGGAAGATGATAGGGTCCTGTGATGCTGAGGGAGGGAAATAGCCTTTTACTGGGTTCTTGCTCGTGCTGGGTGCCATGTGCAACTCCTTCAGATCCTCCCAGCCTCCCTTTGGTGTAGCAATCACTGTTTCTGCCCTATGGCTTAGGAGCCAAGGCTCAGGGAGATTAAAATCGCTTAGTGAGTGGAACTCTGCAGATTTAAATTAAGTTTTCTCGACCCTAACATTTCTGTTCCTGAAAATCACTTCAGTGTTTTCAGATAAGTTCCTTTACCCATCATGTGGGCTCGGTGCATCCCAAGATGCCTTTGAGTTCAGCAATCCACTCACTGATGTAAAGATGATCACTTTTCTCCCAGAGGTGAATTTATTTGCTGAACAGTCATAGCCTAGTAGAATCTACTGGTCTATTTGGTCAAAAAATGGGTCATTTTGCTTGTAATTTAGCTACTCATTTCAGTGAATGAGCCAGTCTGTTTGCTCTTGTGCCATGTTCAGTGACGAAATTATCTAGAAATACAGCAGTGGATATTCTGTTTAGCCCAAAGAGGCCAGGTGGTAGGACTCAGGTCTGACTCAGACCAGCCGTGGACAGGTACACCAGCACAGAGTTCCCCTACGAAAGCCAGCAACTTTACCTCGGCAATTTTCCCAGGCAGGCTTTTAGTAAGAGGACCCGGTGTGCCCAGAAGCCATGAGCAGCCCTGGGTAGAGCTGGAGGCAGAGTCACTGAGGACGGCTCAGTGTTCCCAGCAGCAGGGACGAGGGGACTGGGCTCACGCTCCGCTCCCACTGGCTTCCTGCAAGTCACTTGCCTTCTTGGCCTCAGTTGGACAATCCCTAAAATGGGATAACACTGTCTTACCCACCTTGTGCTCAATAGTAGAGACCAGTTCAACCCCCAGGGCTTCTTAAACTCTCAGTATTAGGAGCCTGTGATTCTGTAAACCCATATTTGCTCAGAATTATTTCACTGTTGAGAAAAATCAGAGTTCAAGTGTCCTTAAATGTAAATTGTGTTAGTTTTCTCCTCAGCTGTGACAAATTACTCCAAATTTAGTGGCTGAAAACAACATAAATGTGATCTTCCAGTTTCGTAATCAGTGTCTGATGTCTCACTTGGCTCAAATCCAGGTGTCGCAGAGCTGGTTCCTTCTGGGGGTTCCAGTGGAGAACCCCTTTCCTGGCAATTCCAGTTCTGGAGGTGCTGCATCCCCTGGCTCGTGGCCCCTCCTTCAAAGCCAGCAATGTTGTGTGTCTGTGCCTTTGTTTAGGGTCACAGCTCCACCTCCAGTCAGGAGAGGGCCTCCAATTTAAAGGACCCAGGTGATTGGACTGGACACTCGTGGAGACCCAGGACAACCTTCCCATCCAAGGCCCTTAATGTAATCGCATCCGCAGGCTCCAAGGATTCGTGAATGGATGTTGTGCGAGAGGCATTTTTCTGCCTCCACAGATGACCCACTGACCCTCAAAGATTCATGCCCCGTCCTCGAGCATAACATGCTCACCCCATCCCAAGGTTCCCCCAAACCCCATCCCATGACAGCACCAACTCCAGGCCCAAAATCCAATCCAAATCTCGCCATATAAATCATCCACATCAGGTAGGGCAGGCTCAGGGTAAGATCCATCCAGGACAAAATTCCTCTCTATCTGGACCTAGCCTGTGAGACAGGGAAGCCTGTCGTCTGCTCTCCAGATGCCCTGGCAGAACAGTGTTAAACATAACAGCAGCAGACATCTGGGTGGAGAAAGGAAAGGAAGGGGAGTCGCTCCTCCCAACCCACGTGGAAATCCAGCCAGGCAACATCCCTTAGGCTTCAAGGCCAAGGAGTAATGCCTGTGGCTGGAGGCTCTGCCCTCTGAGTCATGGACTCAAAATAGACGACTCTTCACTTAATCCTGACAACAACCCTGAAAGATCAACCTTTCTGTATTAACTTAAAGATGAGGAAGCCAGGGCTGAGGGAAGTTAACGCCAGGCCCTCCAGCCACCACAAATCAAGGCAGGGGTTCGAGTCCAAGGGCCTCTGTCTTCAAAGCTCACGCTCCTCCCGCCCTAACTCCAGGGCACAGATCTCCTAGGGGCACCTGGAGCTCTGTGAACAGGAACCACACCAGGAACTGCATGATCCCAAAGGTCATCTTTCTTCTCCCACGGGGTCTCCTATGTCCTGACCAATGGTCTCTTCCTACCCAGGTCCGGGAGGTGACACGACATGTCATTCAAGTTTCAAATGAGGTTGTCACAGATGATGACCGCTATTCTGACCTCCTGATGGCATGGGGACAATACATCGACCATGACATCGCGTTCACACCGCAGAGCACCAGCAAAGCTGCCTTCGGGGGAGGGGCTGACTGCCAGGTGACTTGTGAGAACCAAAACCCATGTTTTCCCATACAAGTAAGTTTTAGAAAACGTTTTTATGTTTATTATGAAACTAAGTGCTATTTAAAATGTCAAACAGAACAGTATAAAATAAAATGTGAAAGTCTGTTTCTGTTCTAGTCCCAGGGGTAACAGTTGTGAATATCCCGTGCATCGCACTGGAAATTATCTGGATACACATATATATATAGCATATAAGATAGCGTGTGGGCAGATGTGTATATGACATATATGATAGTGTGTGGTCACGTGTATATAGCATATAGGATTACGTGTGGGCACGTGTATTAGCATATATGATCGTGGGTGGGCATGTGTGTACATAGCATATATGATAGCGTGTGGGCACTTGAGTATATACAATCATGTGTGGGCACATGTGTATATAGCATGTAAGATAGTGTGTGGGCACGTGTGTATATAGCATGTAAGAGTGTTGGGCACGTTTGTATATGGCATATAAGATTGTGGGCACATGTGTATATGGCATATAAGAGTGTGTGGGCATGTGTGTATATAGCATATAAGACAGTGCGTGGGCATGTGTGTATATGGCATATTGGCATATAAGATACTGTGTGGGCATGTGTGTTTATACATATAAGAGTGTGTGGGCACGTGTGTATATATCGTATAAGATAGTGTGTGGGCACGTGTGTATATAGGATATAAGATAGTGTGTGAGCATGTGTGTATGTGGCATATAAGATACTGTGTGGGCACGTGTGTTTATAGCATATAAGAGTGTGTGGGCATGTGTGTATATATCGTATAAGATACTGTGTGGGCACGTGTGTATATAGGATATAAGATAGTGTGTGGGCATGTGTGTATATAGGATATAAGATAGTGTGTGAGCATGTGTGTATGTGGCATATAAGATACTGTGTGGGCACATGTGTTTATAGCATATAAGAGTGTGTGGGCATGTGTGTATATATCATATAAGATACTGTGTGGGCACGTGTGTATATAGGATATAAGATAGTGTGTGGGCACGTGTGTATATGGCATACAAAATAGTGTGTGGGCATGTGTATATGGCACATAAGATAGTGTGTGGGCATGTGTGTATATAGCATATAAGACAGTGTGTGGGCACATGTGTATATGGCATATAAGACAGTTTGTGGACTTGTGTGTATATGGCATATAAGATACTGTGTGGGCACGTGTGTTTATAGCCTGTAAGTTAGTGTGTGGGCACGTGTGTAAATAGAGCATGTGATCCCATGTGTACCTGCGCTTTTTCTCATCCTCTGTGTCATATCATGTGCATGCTCAGTGCCTGGGAAGGACCACTTAGCAATAGTTCTTACACATGTCTGCATAACATTAAGTGAACAGAAATGTTAATTGTTTGTGACTTCTTAATATTCCATTTGTGTGTGCATTATAATCTGTCTAACCACTTCCCTTATTAATGAGCATGAGTTGCTTTCTGCTTCATTGCTGTTTTTATGCTGTCACAAATAATGAAGCAAAGAGCACACTTGGCCCTCAGTCTTTGTGCACATGTGTACACCTGATGGATCCAGGGGTAAGATTGCTAAGTCACGGTGGAGGTGCCTGTGGAATTTTGATAAATATTGCAGAATTACTCTCCATTAATATTGCACAAATGTTCACTCTTACCAGAAAAGAAAGAGACAATATAGGTAGGATTTTAATTTTATTTCTCTCTGGAAGCCAGCCTTGAAGTTAACAAGGGACATTTTCTTTATTTTCTTTTTTCTTTCTTTTTTCTTTTTTTTTTTAAAGATAGCGGTCTCATTCAGCTCACTCAGGCTGGAGTGCAGTGGTGCAATCTCAGCTCACTGCAACCTCTGCCTCCCAGGTTCAAGTATTCTTCTGCCTTAGCCTCCCGGGTAGCTGGGACTACAGGTGGCACGCACCACACCTGGCTAATTTTTGTATTTTTAGTAGAGACGGGGTTTCACCATATTGGCCAGGCTGGTCTCGAACTCCTGACCTTGTGATCCACCTGCCTCAGCCTCCCAAAGTGCTGGGATTACAGGTGTGAGGCACCGTGCTCAGCCAACAAGGGACATTTTCTACTTAAGAGCACAGGTGGTTTCAGGCTCATGTCCTCTCTAACATTCATTCAATAAAACTTCACTGGTAGTTATTCTGTGCCATGCTGTGATGTGTGCTGGGCAGACTGAAAAGGAAGACAGGCTGGTCCCTGGAAGATGGGCAGGACAGTTACATAAACCAGCAATTATAAAATTCTGGGCATCTGCAGAGGAAGTCCCAATGGGCAAAATCAAGGTATTTAAACCAAATATCCCAAAAGGAATAATACTGGGGAAAGGAGGAAAAGGAGCACCATAAAGACTGTGTCAATCACAGAAACTGAATTTCAACCAGGTCCAGCCTGTCCCTGGGAGGAGGTCACACTCTCTCTCACATGCTGGGGCTCAGACCCTGGATGACGGGGGGGGGTCCCTCGCTCTTCTCTGCAGAGCCTCCTCACCAGGCATCCCTGAAGTGACGCCCACTGCAGCATGTCCCTCTAACCTGAGGGTTCATTCTTTTTTTTTTTTTTTTTTTTTTTTTGGGTGTTTTTTTTTTTTTTCTTTTTTTTTTTTTTTTTTTTTTTTTTTTTTTGAGCTGGAGTCTTGCTCTGTTGCCCAGGCTGGAGTGCAGTGGCACAATCTCAGCTCACTGCAACCTCCACCTCCCAGATTTAAGCAATTCTCCTGCCTCAGCCTCCTGAGTAGCTGGGACGACAGGCGTGCACCACCATGCCCGGCTAATTTTTCTATTTTTAGTAGAAACAGGGTTTCACCATGTTGCCCAGGCTGGTCTTAAACTCCTGACCTCAACTGATCCACCTGCCTCGACCTCCCAAAGTGTTGGGATTACAGGTGTGAGCCACCGCGCCTGGCCCTAGTGTTCATTCTTCATACCCAGGACCCCAAAGTTCTCATCTGTTAACATTGGAGCTATCAGATCTTGCAGAAGTATCTGTATCTTCAGCAATGAACGGTCCGCCAAGCAGAGGCCCTCGTGCCCAGCTAAGAGGCTCCCGAGCAGAATCTCTGCAAAAACGACTGAGTTGTGCAGCCTGGAGAAGCGGTGGAGACGGGTACCTGTTATCTGTCAGGTCTTGGGTTCCAGGCTTGCCTTGTAACTTATCAGCTGCTTGTATATAGGTTTGTTGTCTGTAAAAAGAGTCTATTTCCCACCTAATAGTGTAGCAATTAAAATGAAATGAGATCGAATTTGCAAAACCAGGCTCGGAGAAGGAATTCGATGAATGTGCATTGTAATTGCTGTGTTGCTGGAAGCCTAGCCGGAGGGATGTGAGGTGATTAGGGAAACTCAGCAAGGAGGGAGCATGTTGGGTGGGGAGCTGCACTGAGAGAACCACTCTGTGTGGGGGTTCCACCTTTGGGGCTCCCCTGGAGTTTAGCTGGTTTGGGCAAGAGCTGGTGAAAAGCAGCCTTGGAAGAAGGAGGGGTTGTTCGTGCAAGTCTGCGGCTGCCATTGGGGTAATCTGTGTTTGCCCGTCCAGACAAGTGGGACAGTTGGGGGCCACCATCTGGGTGGGAAGGACATGGGTGGCACTGAGGCCAGACAAGGACCCCAGGAAAAGCCCAGCCCTTCAGGGCCACGCACACTGTGGGGGAGGTCGGGGGCCTCCGGCCAGGGCATCATCCCAGGCATGTTCCGCTGATATCCAGGGCCACATGATGGTTGGGGTGAGCCCCGCACACCTGCCCACAGGGACTCCTTCCTCCATCCACAATAATCAAAGCTACATGGATGGCTGTGTTCATATAGAGATAACTATATTAATGTAGGTTAAAACTTTTTCTTTGGCCTAAATGTTTCTTATTTTCTTCTGATTTTAAAATAAATTAAACATTTTGTGAGCACACTTACTCCTGTAGCCATAGGCACTGTGGCTATGGTGCCTCCTGGATAAGTTGGCCTTGGGGAAACTGGACTTCCACCCGCTTTAGGAGAGAAATTGTCCTGTTGTCCTAAGAAAAGTCTCCTCAGAAGAACCTGAGTGGGAGTGAAAAGCAAAAGTGAGTTGGGCCCCAGGGGCCCCCGCACGACCAGGCATAAACATACTCACAGGCACATGTGACCACCCATAACCTGTGTGTTCACCCTTGTGCATACACACATGCACACCCACCCACACCCATACACACCCACTCACACCCATGCACACCCACCCACACCCACCCACACCATACACACACATGCACACAGGCACATGCACCTAATCATGCTCATGCACACACAGAGCCACACACACACACCTCCACACACCTCAAATGCACACCCACCCACACCCATACACACCCATACACACACGTGCACACAACTCACATGCACACAACTGCTCCAGGCTCCTTCTGCTGCCATGGGGTTCTAAGAGGACCCTGTGTAACTCAGGAGTGTGTTGGACAAGGGCAGGGGAGGCTGTGGAGAGGAGCAGGATGCTGTAATGTTCATGGAGACCCCCGCAGACATTCTGGGGGTCCGGGCACTAGCTCCTTCGGGGCTCCCTACTGGATCTCAGGGAAAGGCGGGTGTTCTCATCAGCCATGTCACTCTCCAAGCTCCTCCTTTCTTTTTAGTGCTCAGTTATAGTGAGCCCGGTCACACCAGGTACCATCTCTCTGCCCTATTTCAACTTTCTGTTCTGGCTGTTCTGGGCCAGCCTATCTTCCATGGTGCAGGACTGGTGTTGACGGTACTTCCCTTCCACACGGAGAACACGCCTGTGGGGCCCTGAAGGCAGAGAGGCTGGGGCAGGTGCTGTGGGCAGCAGGGAGGGAGCAGCTGGACCATCTCAGGCGGGAGCCTGCAGGGCTTGTTCCAAGGAGCTAAGGAGCTGAGACTCCAGACCTCAGGGCTGTGTGCTAAGGGCTCTGGACACAAACTCAGTGCATGGACAAGAGGCAAACCCTCAGGGGACGACTTGAAAATACGGAATGACAAGGAATTGTTATCTTCATTCTATAACGAGCTCTTATAAAGCAACGAGAAAA